GAGCTAGAGGACCTCGGGGAACTTGAGGACTGGAACCCAAAACTTGATGGAACCTGGTGAACCTGTGCGGCAGCTGTGTGCAGATTAGAGAAAAGCTTCCTCTAGACCCTCTACAGCTGTCCGCTGGAAACTGTCCCGATCGATACGCATGGCTGCTGTGATCACAGTGTAAGACAAGTCTCTAGAGTTGCGCAGTGCACAACCTGTGTGGCTGTCCACTGCAGCCCTGCCTTGACATCACCAGGATTATCTCTTTTTCATCGTGGTATGTCTTTCTGCCTCCACTTTACTCCTTCATATCAAGTACTGACTTTCTCTTCCTGGCAGGAAAGATCCTTGCTCTGAAACTCAGTAACTCAAAAGGTGGGGTTCCTTCTCTTCCCATGTTCCAATCACATTTCACAGAGCAGGCTGGCCACGAACTTGTCGAAATCCTCCTGCCTCAGCCTCCTGAGTGCTAGGATCCCAGACCTGTACTACCACGCCCAGCGCATCTCAGGAGTTCTTATCCCTGTAATGCGGCCAAGAACGCTCGGAGGTTGGGGAACATCCCAAGGCATCAGCCCTTCCAGGCATTTTAAGGACTGCAGGGAAAGACCGAGGAGCTGGAGGGGGCGGGGAAAGAGCGTGTTCCTTTAAAAAAGCGATGGGCGTGGCGCCCGCGAGGAAGCGGGAGCACCCGGTGGGCTTCTGCGGCTGTGCGAAGGCACATTCCTGAGCTTGAGCGGAGAAATAAAAGCGCTCCCTTGTCTGCGCGCGGAGGAGACAGCAATATTGCCGCGTAACCAGGACCAGATGGGCTTGGGAATTTCCAAAGGCCGCGAGTGCTGGAGTCAGAAACCCCTCCCAGACCGCGTCTGGCTGCTGCCCGGGTATCGGTTACGGAGGTGACGCAGCCGGGGTCCCACAGGGGAGGGGGCCTCTGCCGGTGCTCGCAGCCTGCACCCCCACAACCTGCAGGCACCCCTGCAGCGCGCCCCTGGCCCGCAACCCCCAGAACTCACAGCCACTGCCCAAACCCTCCGCACGCCCCCTCCTGGGGTGGGGGAGCTCATGCCCCCCAGGGCACCAGACTCAGCTGCCACGCTCGGGGAGGCGCTCGAGCTCTTCTGACCTGGAAGGCCAGAGTCTGGAACGTCTGTCCTGTGAGCAGCCCCTCCTGCCTCTGTGGACCTCAGTTTCCCTATCTTGCCTTCAGTTTCCCACCCCAACCCTCCGGACCCGAATTCTGTCCTGGGCCATGCCCAGATGCTGCAGGCCTGCGTCCTGCCCTGGGGAAACTGGGAATCCATGGAGTTCCGGCACCCTCCCAGGGCCCGGCACCCCGGCAACAGTGGCACGGAGGTTGCTGGACACCGCCTGTCAGGCTCGGTGACTTCCGCGGCCGCGCTCCGCGATAAGGAGAGCTGACGCTGAGGGGTGCGGTGCTGGGGCTGCAGGGAGTTCCTTCACCCCTGCATCTGCGAGGCAGGCGAGCTGTCACTCGCCTGAGATCACATGCAGAACACAAGCGAAAGCAGGATCTGAACCACTGCTAGGGCCCGTGTCTGCAGCCGTCATGCCGACCTGCTTCCTAAAGGGGCCCAGGCTCAGCACAAGCATGGGGGACTCGCAGGTGCCGGGGCTCTCCAGCCAGCCCTAGTGGGGAGAGGGTCCGAGGCTAGTGTTTTACCTGCTGCTCTTCCCCGCAAGCATCCCTCGAAGGGAAGGGTCAGCACCCCACTCACAGAGGGGGAGACTGAGGCATACATCGGTGATATCACTGGCCTGGATTTGCTGGTAGGAGATGACATCCCAGGAAAGCTAGCTGTCCTCCATGGGGGGAGGCCCCCAGCACCCAGAGGCCAGGCCTGGTCTGTCACCCAAGTCCTCAGACCCGCAACTCTCCAGGCTGGGAGGCAGCTTCGTGCGTCTGAGCCGGGGCTCAGGCCCCCGCTCCATGAGTGTGAGGGCAGGTCCATTCCGGCGTCCTGACTAGAGGGGCCCCCACAGCCCACTGGTGTCCCCCAGACTGGAGACTGAGCGACACGCGGCCCGTGGTCGTGGGCTGGAGAGGCGAGACTGGAAGGGGCCAGTGTCACTTGTGCTGTGCACTTGCTGCCGTGTGTGAGCCTGCGCCCGCTTCCCAGCCCACCTGGAGGCGGGGGGTAGAAGGGAGGCTGTGGCGGTTTCCATGTGCTCATCGGCATGGCTTTGGGAAGGTGACAGGTAATGGGCCTCACAGCGGACTTGCTCAGGAGGCGGGGCCTGGTGGAAGGAGGTGGGGTTGGAGGCATGGCCTGGAAGGGCCCTCCCTCCCCAGCTCCTCCCTTCTCCCTCTGCTTCCTGTGCCGTCATGCTCTGAGTAACTCTCCTCCGCCAGGCCCTTCTGCCAGGCCTTGTACTTGTCCTGCCTTGGAACTGTCCAACCATGGACTGAAATGCGAGCCAAAGTAAACCTCTCTCTGCTGAAGTTGTGGGTATCAGGCATTTTGTCACAGCAACGAGAAAGTGACTAAGACCAAGGCCAGGTATATGTCACACAGGGAGGTGTGGACCCAGGCTGGCCAGCTCCGGACCCTGCATTCTTCCTCAAGACCCCAATGACAATGCCCCACTGTGCCCTGTGCCATCAGTGAAGACTGGAGCCTCAGTTTCCCTGTTGGTACCACAGGGCTCAAGGTCCTGTCCTGGGAGCTGCAGTGATGGTGAACAAGGCTGTGTGGTGGGCGCTCCTGGGTAGGGGCTCCATGGCCACACAGTGGCCATGCCAGGTGTGGCACACAGCACGCGCTGGCCCTGGCCCTCCCTCTGCCAGTTCCCTAGGGAGGCGGCAGGGAAGCAGCCAGGCGCCCAGCCTGGACTGCACAGTGAGTTTGAGGCCAGCCTGGAAAACAAACCTCCAAAACAAAACAAAAAACAAATAAATGGTAGTGATGAGTATAGGGGTGGTGAAGATGGTAATGATGGGTGAACCAATTGCTTACCCCATACTTTAAGACTTGACAAATATGGCTTCATTCTCATGACACCAACAAGGCAGGTGCTGTCACCCCATTTTACAGATGAGTAAACTAAGGCACGGAGAGGTGGGCATGCAGCTAATGGGCTAACAGTGGGAAGGATGAGACCACACGTGCAGCCTTTCCCGGGCCGCTTCCCTAACAATCACGTGACAGTCTTGCTCACAGTGCGGCACGAGCCTCCCCATGCTGCCCTGGACCCACAGCAGGCATCCCCAGCCGGCGCTGGCAGAGCTGAAAGAAACCACTCGGGCAGCTCTCCTGGAGGGGTTCCCAGCCCCCATCCCAACACTTGGCTGGGGAGTCCTGGAGGCTGCGTCCCAAAGGGCTGCGTCCCAAAGGCTTCCTTCAGATCCACCCAGAGCCCATGCCAGCCCTCCATGTTCACACATGAGGTGACAGGGTGAGGACGGTTACCCCTGCCCCACGCTGGGACCCTGATGGCTAAGCCCCAGGAGACTCCAGGGGTCTCCAGGGGTCTCTTGCAGCCCGGCACTGCTGGCTCCTGTTGGAAATCCCCTCCCTGGCCCCATATGGGGACAGAGCTGTGACACACACATGGGACGGCTGTGAAAGGCTTTCTCCTGACCTCAGCTCGTCCACAGTGGCCATGATCCTGGGGCCTGGGGCTGGGGGCAGGGTGGGCATGCAGAGCCTGCTTGGTGCCTGGCTCTAAGCTGCACCTGCAAAGCACATACGCACACACACATACACGGGCCCACCTCAACAGCTGAACAGCAGCTGCCACAAAAGGTGCGGCTGCTTGCTTGAAGCTGCCCTGCGTGGGCTCAGCCCTGAGGTATGCCTTCTCCCAAGGCATAGGGCGGGCTCAGGCTGGGGTTTTGCACAAATCCACTAGCCGGGGCTGAGGAGCTGCTGTGAGCTGAGGGTGCGCACAGTGGGCTCCTGCGTGACAACGGCTTTTCAGCGAGTGCTCCCTGGGGGCCAGGGCCTCCCAAGATGGTGTGGCCCTGGGATTTCTGTAACCAGGATGCAAGGTGCCCACTGCACCAGGCCCAGGTCCTGTGAGCAGATCCAGACACTTTAATGCAGCCACGTTGTTCCTGCCTGACCCTGAGACACTGCTCCTCCTCCTTCTTCCTTCCTCCTCCACCCTTCTCTTCCTCCCTCTCATCCTCCTGCTGACAACCCCAGCGTCACCAGAACCACAGGCCAGTACCCCACATGCACCCAGCTTTCGGGGCATCTGTTTCTGAAGCAGCCCTTTCCGATAAGCATCTCGGAAGCCCCCATCTTAAGGCTGAGGAGGAAAGAGCTCACTGACTCTGGCCTCAACTCAAACCCTCTCGCCTCTGCTCAGAGCCAGGGGCTTTCAGCCAGGAAGGAACCCATTCCAGGCCTCAGTTGCTACACTTGTACCAGAGGGGTGCAGTTGGCCCCGTTCATGAGTGCCCTGTAGCTCAGCAGGTCCCCCAACCCCACCCCCACCCTGAGAGCCCAGAATAGGGCCGGGCCCTTAGTACCACCGGTCAGTGTGGTGTATGTCCATCTCCTCAGCCTGGCCCCCTTGATGTGCTCAAGCTTGGCGCTGTCTGACCCTGAGGGCTCCCTTCCCAGGCTGTGCCACAGCAGCATGCCCAGGTCCCTCTGCTGGCCGAGGACAAGCGTCTGCACCCCCACCTGCCTGCCCCTGCCCCAGCTTGGTGCAGCTGGAAGATCCTCCCTCCCCCAAGTTTCTACCCCATGCAGTCACAGTCCATTGCAGCGCGACCCCTTGCCTCCCAGCCCCCAATCCTAGTGACCTCAGCCCCCAGGGACCCCGGGTCTCCTCTTTCTGGGGAGCAATCCCTTCCTTACCCTCCGGCCTTGCAGGTTCCTGGACCACCACATTGCAATCCAGCAGAGCTGGGTTTGAGTCTGGTTCTATGACACAAATAATGTGTGGCTCAGGGCGAAGTCCCCACCCGGCTGAGCCTCATGCTACGTGGGAACAGTTACTGATGGCCGAAGACTCCGCGATGGAATAAAACACCAGCCTTTACTGGGCAGCGACCCTGCACAGGGCGTTCTGCTGTTTGAATGTTAAAACTTTATTTCCTCTTGTCCCCGGGAAGCAGGGCCTGTTCCCTCCAGAACACACAGCAGCTGGTCTCAACAGAGCCTTTAGGCTTCTCTAGGACAGAGGCACCTCGGGACAAGCTGTGTCCATCCCCACCACCCAGGGGTGTCAGGCTTGTGCTGGACATAAAACGGCTGTTAGGGACCTCGAGTCAGACACAGAGAGACCACAACAAGGGTGGGGTTGTCAAAGTGCATTGTTAGTGCCCCAAGTCCGGGCCAAGAGTCAGCAGGTGGACAGTGTGTATGACCTTCAAACTTTTCCCTTCACACCCCTCCACCTTGGGTCAAGGTGGCAGCCACTGCCCAGGAGGGGTGGCCACTCCCCCTGCCAGCTTCCTGAATGTCGCCTTCAGAGGAGAGATGGGGAAAGGCCATGGGCAGGAGAGATGGGGCGGCACAGACCACGCTCCCATTGCCCACTCCCGGGCCCGTCCAGCTAGCTGTCTCCTTCATCAACCTCCAGGGAGCCCAGCCTGGCCCTCTGCGCACTGCCTGCCAGGCCCACTGTCCTCTCCCCGTTCCTCCCAGGCCAGCAGACCCCTGAGGCTCCAGGGCTGGGCCCCATTTCTGATCTGAGGATTCCTCCCTGCAAACCTGCCCCACGCTGAACAGGGGAGACCACTCCAAAGCGGGGCCAACGTGCCCCGCCTCCCAGTTCTCATCTACAGAGGCGCTGGGAGAGCAGGCTGGGATTTTGCTTTATTGAGGGGGAACCCCAGGTGGAAGAACCCACTGCACCTTCCCTAGGGCCCCCACACCCAGCCCCCTGGCTCTCACCTCTAGGGGAGGAGCAAACAGGTGCCTCCCACAACTAAGGCCCACCCTGGACAGCAGGACACTCCCTCCATCTCCCGTGGACCAGTACCTGGCCATCTCCCTGCAGCCCCAGGCCTCCTGCGCCTCCAAGCTCATGAACTCCCCGCCTCCCAGACCCGCGTGGGGTCTTCCCTGGGACAGCCCTGCCCTTCCCACACCTGTCACTGGTGGCCACCTCCCGGCCAGAAGGTTAGAGAAGGAAAAGCGCAAAGGCGGGCAGCGGGCAGGGCCCAGAGGCAGGCAGGGGACACCTAATGGGCAGCGGGGGTCAGGGCACCGCGGACGGGAGCAGCGGTGTGTCTGAGTTCTGTGCCGACAGGCTGGGCGTCTCAGGGCCGATGAGCCCCAGGTCGTGCAGATTGAGGATGGAGTCTGCGATGATGCGGGCTGTACGCTTCTGGTACCCGCCTGAGGTCACCATTAGGATGGGGATCTGGTGAGCCCGGACCGTGCGGAACACCAGTTCATCCCGCTTCACGATGCCCTGTGGGGATGGGCAGGGTGGGCTCAGGCCAGCCCGGCCTCCGGGCACTAGGAAGTCCTGTTCTGCATGGTTGGGCTGCAGCTCTGGCCCATCTCCTCCCTGACACCGGCCGCCCACCAGCCCCTCCCCAGGTGGGGACATACCCCGGGGCTGATGGACAGCCCCCCGAGGCGGTCCCCCTCCAGGACGTCGGTGCCAGCGTTGTACACCACCACGTCGGGCAGGTGCTCCTGCAGGGCCTGCTCCACGTTCCGCTCCACTTTGCTCAGGTACTCGTCGTCCTCTGTGCCCCACTCCAGCTCCACCTTCCGCCTGATGGCCTCTGAGGGGGACACACCCCGCCCCACAGGGCGCGGGAGGGAGCTGAGGCTTAGGATGGGGACTGTCCATAGCAAAGCGAGGGCTGGACCTGGTCTGCCTGACCACCGCCCAGCGTGGCCTCTACCGCACCAAAGCTAAGCTGGAAGGGGCGCTGAGGACTGCAAAGAGCTGAGCTGCTTCTGCCCATGGCCCGCAGAGGCCACCGTGGGCAAAGCCTGACCTCTCGCCCTGCCCGCCTCTCAAGCCCCAGGTCAGGATTCGGTCTGGAAACTGGTGCCTTAGGCTGCGCTCGGGTGGCCTCACCCACACCACACTTGCTAGCCTTCACGCTCTTCCTTGTGGAATGTCCCCTAAAGCTGTGTTTTAAAGCACTGGTCACCAGCCTGTGCAGCTACTGGAAGGTGTCTGCACCTTTAGGAGGTGGAGCTAAACGGAAGAGTGTGAAGTCATGGGAGGGGTGTACCCAATGGGGTGGTCAGGCCTGCCCCTTCCTCATTCCGTCCCTATTCCTGGTGGCCATGGTGTGAGCAACTCTGCTCCACTTTGCTCCTGTCATGATGTGTGGGCTTGCCCCAGCTGCAAGCTACAGGGCCAGCCCACCATGGGGCACAGCCTCTAGAACCAGGAGCCTTTCTGCTTTGTAAGTTCATGAGCTCAGGCATTTTGTCACAGCCTAAAAGCTATCACAGGCCCAGACCTGCAGAGCGGGCAGCTCTTGCTTGCAAATCTCACCTGAAAATTCCTGCCTTTGGATTGATGAGCTGTCTCCACTTTCATTTAGCTTCTAACAAGTCTTCTCTCTGTCATCTCACTTTGTGCCTTCTCGTTACCTCCCTTTCCAACGGTTCCCTAACACCCAGACCCCTGTACATGTGTCCTGGCAGCTGTGTGGCCCTGGGTGAACTGCCTGCTCCTCAGTCTGCTCTGGTGCACACTGGGATCCACGCCACCCTCAGGGGTACAGAGAGGTGGGGTGACCCCCACAGGCCCAGAGTGCCCTGAGCCAGGCCTGCCGAGGGGCAGCAGCTTACGCTTGGCGAAGCGGTCCCCAGGGTAGATGTGGCGGTTGTAGACGTCCACGATGTACACGCGTTTGTCACCCATGAAGTCTCGCTCGTGCCCGTTGCCCTGTGGAAACGACACGGGAGCTGCTCACAGATGCCAGGACCCTCGCCAGGCCAGGCCCCGTGGGGCACTGGGCCAGACGCAGACCCCCACCATCAGTCACAGCAAACAGGAGCTCAAAGCAGCAGCTTGGGGACATTGCCGGGGTCCCGCTGGGCCGCTGGGGATGTGGGGAAGGAGCTGGGCCTGGTTCCCTCCTGCACAGCACTCACCTGATGGGCGTCAAGATCAATGATGGTGGCCCTTGAGATGCCTTCCACTCGCTCGAACAGGAACTGCCCAGGGAGCAGGGGACAAGGTGAGGACTGACAGCCAGGCCAGAGGACCCAGGGACCCTCGGGGGGCACACAGTGGGCGGACGGGGACAGCACTTGCAGGGAAGCTGTGGGGCTCCGGAGAGGCCCATGTGTGCGCTGGGGTGGTCAGGGCAGGCTCCCTGCAGGAGGTGTGTGCTGAGCCCTGGAGTCAGGCCCTGGACGTCCCGGGAGCCCCTGGGAAGGCATGGAGCCAAGGGAGGAGGCCCCGAGCCCTTGAACTTTGTTGCCCAATCTCTGGCTCATCTTACAAGGCCAGGCCCTAACACTCCCTCCCTTCTTCCCTGCTCCCCACCCCGAGTCTCCTGTGCACCCTTCTCTTAGTGCCCGGGTCTGCTGGCCCGCCAGCGGCTGTGTGCCCTGGGAGAAGGGGCTCCGCTCCTCATCCACTCAGACACCAGCACGGGGCTGGGTTCACAGTGGCCTCCCCACCCCCCCAGCCCTCGGTTACCTCGTCTGGAACATGTGAGGGTTTGGGGAGGCGAGGCTTGGTATCTCAAGCGTCTGTACATACCAGCTGTTTTCAGCTCCGTCACCGCGGGCCACCTCTTCCCCCGCCCCCCGACCCTCCCTGCCCTCCTGATCCCCGCAGCGTAGCCCTTCCTCCCACAGCTTAACCCTGACAATGCCCTTCTGGGGTCCCTGGGGCTGAGGGGACTGTGACAAGTCCCTTACGCATGCAGAGCAGGGGCAGTGTTGTGCCAGGGTTTGACTGCTCGGCTGCACCCCATCCAGAAGGTGGGGACAGAGCAGCGGACAGGGCTGCGGGGGGACCCCGAGAGCTCCCTGGAGACACACCTTGATGGCCAGCGTGATGTCGGCATAGGCGCAGAAGCCCCCGCCACGGTCACTAGAGCAGTGGTGGAAGCCGCCCCCTGAGGAAGGGAAGGGGCGCTGGTCAGGGCCAGGCGCTTTCCTCTCCCTCAACTCCAGTGTCCCCTCCTCTCTCACAGTCATGGGTAGCAGCAGGTCCCTGTCCACAGGCCAGGCGGCAGGGCAGCATCACAGCAGGTCACTCCACAAAGGGAGCCCGCCCTTCCCCAGGCAGGCGCTGGGCCCGCTGTGCAGCTCCCATACCTGGAGGGGTGGCTGGGAGGGGATCCTCTGCTGGCCTGGCTGTCACTGCGACAAGGGCTCTGCCCACCTCCCAAGCCTGGGACAGCTCAGAGCCTGTGTCCAGGGTGCCCTTCCCTCACACCTCTGGAGAGCCTGAGTACCAGGGTCCTCTGAAACGGGCCCTACTGCCCCAGGGACAAGGGCAGAGACCAGAGAGACACACATGTGCAGCCTTGCTCTGCGAACCAGTACTGTGGGAGTCGAGGACGGGGAGCACTGTGTTCTGGATGCCTGCAGAGGTGTTACTGACCAAGCCCTGCACCCCAGGGGACAGTCTTTCTGGGGAGCCCCAACAAGGCAGGCATCATTCCTACACACAGCTGCCCAGGGGATGCACAGGTTTTGAGGGGTAGAACTTCCCTCTCATTGGAAGTTGCAACAAGGAACACTTTAGACCAGGATCCTACATCAGACAGAGGCAATGCCGGTCCCTCCCAGGCACCAGGAGGCTGCACACCCTGCTCCAGACCCCTCTATAAGGAGGCTCAGGTGGCTCTTGAGCTGCCACCCCCAGGGTCCCTGGCCCTCGCTGCCCCAGACCCTCTTCCTGGTACTCACCCACATTGATGGCCCAGCCTCGATCCACAGCCAGCTTTCCCGCCTTCAGAGACAAGCAGAGCGTGAGGAGTGGGCAGCCAGTCCCTTCCCGCGTGCATTCATCCACCCATTCACTCATTAACTCATCTGCTGCCTCACTCACACAGTCCGTACAGTTTCCAGCCAGCTCTGGGGTGGAAATAAGCAACAAGGTGGGGTGCAAGGGGCCCCCATCCAGCCCACCAGCAAACACAGCCAGCCAGCAAGAAGGGCCAGGCTGGCAGCACAGTGTGTGGTGCTTAAGCCTCTTGGCAATTTTGCAAGAAAAGTGGAAGAAAACTGAGTTAAGTATTTATTATCACAAGTGAGCTGACTGTGATTTTTAACGGGGTTTTGAAAGGCTAAAGTGACCTTTTTTTTTCTCATGAAATATGGTAGAATGGTGACAGAAATCCAGTTTGGAGGATGGATGGTAACTGTAGTGTTCAGTGGGTACTGATCTAGGGCTGGGTTAGATCAGCATCGTTTATTTACGAGCTGTTCCTCCAATCAGCTTGACAAACTGGGAGTTTTGAAGGAAACTGCACACAGGATGTGAAGGCTGATTCCGCCGTGAGTGTTCTTTATGGCCACACCCACGATGGGGGAGGGTTGGGCTTTCCACCTTGACCTTGGGGGTGCTGGGTAGAACGTAGTTTTTGGAGAATCTGGAGGGGTGAGGTATCCTATATATCAGCAAACGGCCACTCAAAGAGAGGGATAGTGAATTCTAACATCCTCCGCCAGGTAAGCTTTTTGGAGAGTGGGGCTGGAGGGACCCTGTGCACCCCCGGCCTACCTACCATGATGGTTCCTCCTGTCTGGGTCCGAAGGGGCCGCAGCACCTTCCTCTGCACCAGGAAGTTGGGGAGGAAGATGACAGGGGGGATTTCCGTGATGGTGGCAACGGCGAAGGACCACTGCAGAAAGACAGGACAGCTGCCGAAATCAGACTCCCTCTGTGTGCCCAGGGAGGGCCACCAGGTGCCTGGGAAGCGCTCAGCCCCCAGTACGACCAGTTCAGTAAAGAAAAATACACTCCGCGCATTTCTTTCTTTTCTTTTTTTTTTTTCTTTTTTTTTTTTTTTTTGGTCTTTTTAAGACAGGGTCTCACTATGCAGTTCAGACTGGCCTTAAGCTCACTTTGTAGCCCAGAGTAATTTCAAACTCGAAAAGATCCTCCTGCCTCAGCCTCCCAAGTGCTGGGATTACAGGCGTGCACCACCATGCCCAGCACTCTGTGCATTTCTTAGAGCCAGGTCAGCTCAGCTTCCTCGGCTCTGAAGCTCTCGGCTGCCCTCTTGTGCCTGGAACCAGATCTGCAGAGGACGACAAGCCAGGTCTGGTGGCTTTGGGAGAACCGGCCCAGGGCAGTAAGGAAGGGGATACTGAGGAGCAGCAGGGAGGATCTTTCAGTCTCCCTCCGCCCCTGCACCGCATGGCCTCTGCCTCCGGTGAATCGGACTTCTTTGCAGCAGGGGCAGCCTGCTCATTGGTATCTGGGCCGCTGGCCCCGAAGCCAGGCTCAGGGTGCATCTGGGGACCTCTAAGATGTCCAGGGCACTGCTGCCCAGCTGCCACCCCAAGCCATCCCTGCCTGGCTGAGGGCATGTCAGCACTGCTCTCCCTGCTCCCCCTGGCCCCAGCAGAGCCCGCTCTGTAAACCTTGAAAGGGTCTGCTAGGCACCCCGAGGTGGGGCTGGGGTCAGATCCACTGCCAATGGGGTGGGGAGGCACTTAAATGTCAGTACCCATCAAGTGACAGAAGAATCAGATCTGAAGCAGGAATGGTCCAGAAAGGCTTTCTGGAGAAGGTGTCTTCCAGAGGAGGAAGAATGGCAGGAGTTTCCCGGATGCAGCATGGTTGGAAAGAGGCAGAGAAGCGTGGGGTTGCGGAGGCAGCCATGCAAGAACACAGAGATAAGGGGGAGGGACTGGGACAGGGAGAGCAAGAGGGGGCGAGCAGGGGCCCACTGCGGGACGCAGCCATAGCCGGTGCACACAGACCCAGAGAGGGAATGTCCTGAAATGCCCTGGGCTCCTGCCCCTCACACCTGTGTCAGCCCCGGCATGAGCCAGGCACCCACTAGGCATGGAACCACTGTGTTCTATGAATAAATGAGGGACCCAGAGAGCTACGATGTCGGGGGAGAGATTAAAGGATCACAAAGCCACATCCTGGCCTCCTGAGGAGTCCAGTCCAGGCACGAAGGTACACAAAGGCACATTTTTCCAAGTGCCGCCTGCAGCAATTGGGGGATGACAGCACCATCCAGAAAGGGCTCCCCCAGTGGTGATGCCTGGGAGACACAGTTTATGTCCTCTGCCTCCTGGACATTCACCAGGCCCTGGGACGTGGAAAAGGCTCTGTGAAGGTTTGCAAGCGCTGTCTACCTTTGCCTTCTCCCGCATCTCCCAAACCTTCCACTGCAGACCTTTATCGATCCCATATGCTGACCTGGCCCAAGGCTGCGGTCCTGGAACAGATGCAAAGCCACCAGCACGGAGGAGTTGGGCTCTGGGACCAACCCCCAGGGAAGGCAAGCAAGCTCCAGGCCACAGCAGACTAGACGAGGAGGAGGCTGCACAGCTGGTGGTGATGCTGTCTGCTGACGCTCGAGACCTGCACTGCCCCAGCCAGCAGCTGTCAGCCATAGGGCCACTATGTGCAGTTACCCTGCAGTGTCCACAGGGAACTGGTCCCAGGAACCCCTGGACATCAATCCCACAGGTGCCTAACTCCCTTATATGCAGTGGCATAATATTTGCACACACCCTCCCATGTACTTTATTTATTTATTTATTTTTTGTAGCGGGAATTGAACCCATGACCTCGCTCTTGCTAAGCAGGCGCTTGCGCCGCTGAGCTATATCCCCGGCCCTCCTTCCATGTACTTTAAATAGTCTATTTTGTTTTGAGACAGGGTCTTACTACGTAGGCCAGGCTGGCCTCGAACTCATTATGTAGCCCAGGCTGACCTCAAATTCCTGGTGATCCTCCTACCACAGCCTCCTGGGTACTGAGATGACACACGTGTGCCTCCATGCCCGGCTTTTACATCATCTCCTGATGACCTACAATGCTTCCTACCTTGTCAGTACTTTGCAAATAGTTTTGACACATTAAGGAGTACTGCAAGAAGAAAGTTCTCCATGTTTGGTACAGATGTAATTTTCTTTTTTAAGCATATTTTCAATCTGTGGTTAATTGAATCTGAGAATGAGGAACTCAAAGATGTCGAGGGCCAACAAGAATTTTAAATTAGTTCAAAATTGATTTTTAAAATTAATTAAAAATTTTTGTGTATGTGGCCCATGTTGGTCTCAAACTCATGCTCCAAATGACAATCTTGTCCCCAGACCTATTTCCTGTGCTGTCAGGCACTTACTCGGGCAGGGAAGACCTGGGACATTTCTGTCACTGCTGCAAGTTTTGCCGGATGTCACTGTCTGGAGAAACCATCGCTGGTGGCTGGGTGGAGGATGAGTGGTGAGAGTGGATAGGCAGGTGGGCCACGGCTGGGCCCTGGGGCACGGAGATGACACAGGGCATGGCCGAGCCAGGTACGAGAGGTAGGCAAGGAGGGTGCGGGAGGACACAGGGCATCATCGAGGGCTGACATCTGGAGATCCACTGACAAGGGCTGCAATCCTGGCACTCTGGGAGGCTGGGGCAGGAGGATCATAAGTTCAAGCCCAGCCCAGGCAACTTAGCAACTGGGCAAGACTCTGTCTCAAAATGGGATGTAGCTCCGTGCAGAGACCCTGAGGTCAGTCCCCAGTGTCTTTCTCAGTCCTCAGCTGGAAGCAAGGGCCTTGAATGAGCACTGGGACATGGAAGCCTGTCACAGAGCCTTGTCCTTGCCACCCAGTCTAAAATTCCCACACCTGGCCTGCCTCGAGCTCCACTCTGGGGCTTCACCTTCCCACACACACTCGTCACCACCTGAGGCTGCAGTGTGTCCCCTCCAAAGGACATGGCCTCCATGCCCAGGAGAGCAAAGCCTGCGCCGGTGCGCTGCAACAGCCTTGGATCCTCCCCACATCCCTCGGATGGAGGCCCCTGCTCCTGCCCCGGGCTCAGGAGGGCCACAGTGGTGCTCATGGGTATGGGGCTCTGAGCAGGGTGGCCTGGGGGAACACCACACAGGAACATCACAGCTGAGGCACAGAAAGCCTTCGACAAAACCACATCCTTCCAAAGCCAGGTGTGGTGTACACCTGTAATCGCAGCACTCAGGAGGCCGAGGCAGGAGGATCCTGGGAGTTCAAAACCAGCCTGGGCTACGTAGCAAGACCTTGTCTCAAAAAACAAAAACAAACAAGAAAACCTACACCCTTCCAGGATAAAACTCACTCAGCAAACTAGTAAGAATAAGGGATTCTCTTGCAGTATGGCAAAGCGAATTAAAAACAGAAACAAATCACCCAAGGTGAACATCACTCTCCAATGCTTCCACCTAAGATGAGGAGTCCCACAAGGCTGCCTGCCTGGAAACTTCCACTCAACTTAGCACTGGAAGTTCTGGTCGGAGTAATCAGGCAGATACAGAAACACAAGCATAGAAATGGAAAGCAGTAAAATCTATCTCCCCTCACAGATGACATGACACTATGCGCAGACAACCCTATGGAACTCACACGCACAACTATTGCAGCTAAGAAACGAACTCAGCAGCATCGCGGGCTGCAGGACCAACACAGAAAAAGCAGTTGCATTTCTATGCACTAGAAATAAACAATCTGAAAAAGAAATTAAGAAGGCAATTCTATTATACAGCATCAGAAAGAATAAGAGTTACTTGAATCACAAGAGGCAAGACTTGTCCCTAGGAAACTACAAAATGTGGCTGAAATTAAACAAGACCCAACTAAATGAAAAGAAGTCCCATGTTCATGGACTGAAAGACAGTATTTCCCCCAAAAGATCTACAGTATGTATGCAATCTTTGTCAAATATCCCAGGGGCCTCTTCTAAAACTAAAAACATCAAAGGGAACCAAAGTAGTCAAAACAATCTTTAAAAAGAAAACCAAAGCCAGAGGACTCATAATTCCAAATTTCAAAATTCACTACAGTAACCAAAGCAATGTGGAACTGAAAAATGAACATACACACAGACCAAATGGAGAGTATCAATTCCAGAAATAAATCCAGATCTCTGTGACCAGTCATTTCCTACAAGGGTACTAAGACCATCTGATGAGGGAAAACGGAGCTGGGGTGTAGCTCAGTGCCAGAGTGCTTGCTGTGATACAGAGGGCCCTGTGGTCCATCCCCAGCACTGCCTAAAAGGGAGGAATCTTTAATAAGTGGTACTGAGAAAACCAAACATCCACATGCAGAACAATCCCAGCATTCTGGGAGGCTGAGGCAGAAGGAGCTCAAGTGTGAGCCCCGCCTGGGCAACTTAGTGAGATTCTGTCTCAAAGTAAAAAAAAAAAAAAAAAAACTGGAGATGGAGCTCAGTGTGCAGGTCCGGGGTTCCATCCCTGATACTGGGGAGGAGGGAGAGAAACTGCCCTCTTATACCATGCACAAAAATTAACTCAAACTCTATCAAGACCTAAATATCAGCTAAAAGCATAAAACTCTCTTAAAAAAACACATGGAGTAAATAGTCATGACACTGAAATTGGGAATGAATTTTTCAACATGACACTAAAAGCACAAAGAACAGAAGAAAGAAAGGTCTGGGCTTCAGTACAATTTGTCAAATTTGTTCATCAAAGAACACTATGAAATGAGAACAAAGACAGCTCACAGAACAAGAGATCTGCAAGTCATGCAACAGCCGCAACATATAAAAAACTCCCACAACGCAACAATAAAAAGACAATCCAATTCCTCAAACAGGCAAAGGAGTTATGCAGACATTTCTTCAAAGCTACGTGAACCATCCACAAGCCCCCCAAAAAACTGCTGTGTTACTGCCATTACGGAAATGCAAATCAAAATCCTGAGAAACTACTTCTCATCGCCAAGTTGGGCGTATTTATTTAACAAAAATAAAATAACAAGAGGTGACAAGGATGTAGAGAATTGGAACCCTGGTATACTGCCAGTGGAAATAATGCAGACTCTGAAAGTCATTCTGATGATTCTTCAGAAGAAATTACTATATAACCCAGCAATTCTGCTCCTTAGTTTAAACCCCAAATAACCATAAACAGATATTCAAATAAATACCTGTATGTGTACAGCCAAAGCAGCACTATTCACAATATCCAAAAGGTAGAAACAACTCAAGTGTCTGTCCCCTAATGAACAGATAAGCAAGATGTGGTATGCATATACAATGGAATATTATTCAGCTATGAAGAGGAATGATGTTCAGATACATATTCCACATGGTTGACCCTTGAAAACATTATGCTAAGTGACATGAACAGTCACAAAGGTCACATATTACGTGATTCCACTTATTCAAAACACCCAAAATAGGCTAACCCACACAGACCAAATGCATACTAACCATTCCCTGGGGGAGGGGAGGGAGGACAAGAGTGGCCCTGCACAATAGGAACAGGACTTCCTTTTGGGGGTGATGAAAATATTTCAGAAGTAGACAGAAGTGACAGTTGCTCAAAGTGTGAGTGGACTAATGGTCCCTGAACTGTCCCCTTTAAACTGGGTAATGGGTAATTTTATGTTAAATGAACTTTGCCACTTTTTTTTAATAGGAGAAGGGTCTCTCATGAGAGACAGTAAGTCAGAGCCAGAGGCCCCAGGCTCTCATCCCTGTGCTCCCAGTCTCTCCAGGGACTTCTAGCCTCAGGGCCCTGTGGTGCTGGCTTTGAATCCCTCTCACACAGGAGATGTTCCTGCCCCGGGGCCTTTGCACAGCAGATCCTTCTGCTGGGACTGCCCCTTTCTCTGACGTCCACACCACTTGCGGCCTGGGCTCTCACCTCGCCTTTGCTCAAGGGTCAGTGACCTCCCTACAACTGCTATCCCCCCGGCTCTTCTCCACCACCTCCCCACTCCCAGCACTCCCTCCTACACCCTGCACCAGGATGTCACTGTGATGTTCTTGTCCGACTCCCAGGGCTGGGTCTCCGTTGTCCTACGCTGGCCCCACAGCACCCAGAACACAGCCTCACAATCACTGGGTCTGACGCTCACCCACCGCCCACACTGGGACCAACTTCGGGCCTTGCACACCACGGGCAACTGTGAAGTCCCAGAGCACCCAGACAAAACCCAGACTCTTTCCACACATGCGCAAGCATGTGCCCCACCCCCAGCCGCACTACTCCGAGGGCAGTTCCCGTCCCTTTCCTCAGGTGCCTGTGGTTCTTCACCTTTGGCACTGCCAGAGACGCTTCCCCGTGGCTGTTTTCTTTTCCAATATCCACAACTAACATGCAAAGCACACAGCAGGCAAGTCTGCTGTCGCATTCCTCTCCGTGCTCACATACCTGGCATTCAGCGTAGCTATGTGCAACACCGACTGCTCCTCTGCCTTAGCAGCTATTACAGAAATCCTGTTCCTCCTTTCAATCCCCTGCCAGGGAGCTCCCAGCCACACGCAAAGCTCCATCATAATCTCTTTGTTAACACTTTCAGTTGATGCATCTGAATTCCCCTCCTGCCTTTGACCTCAGTTTTCTACTTGGGACTCTACCTGTTAACGTTTTATTAAAGTATTATTATCACATGACAAGCTGCTTTCATGCCTTTGGGGAACTAAGTCCAGGCAGGCAGCAAGCCCTAAAGGGCCTCAGCGGGGTGGGGCCTTAGAGCCGGTCCTTATCCCTGTGCACCCCTCCCCCCTGGACTCTGGTCAGCCTGTCCTCCAAGCGCAGCTCTGGCTGTGGTCTATGACCACGCATGCCTGGCCACAGGAAACCAGGGCAGTCAAACCTGGGCCTCCTGCCAAGGCTACACACATTCTCCTGGGGCCAGGAGGCACTTCCTGGTAACTGCTCCTGAGCTGGCGCTTTGTACGGTAAGGCTTAGGCCTGGTGGGAAGAACCAGCTGCTTGCAACCAGGAATCTGAGAGAACGGATGTGCCCTGCAGGGTCTCCCCCAGACCCGACGGATGCCCCAGGGATCCTCTAGCAGGCACAGCCCACTTCTGCGCCAGGGCTTGTCCACCCTCAGAGTAGAAGGGCCTCAGACCTTGGCACCCACCGTAAGTTAGGCCAGGATGCTAGGGTCAGGACCTCCCCCACACTCGGGATGACAGAGAACCTGGGGCATCCCAGATGCTGTCCCCTGGGCCAGGCTGGCAGCACTGTGGTCTGACGCAACCACTGCTCCCACAGAAGGGATGAACCGAGCTCTCGGCACTCACAACCTCAGCCCCTAACGGAAGCTCTGTGGCCTCCTCTACAAAGACGTCAACAGCAGGCACCTAGTTTGGTGTGCACATGGGACTGCAAAATCTTAAAGTGAGTTGCCACATTAAGAAATCAGGAAGTGGGGCCAGGTGTGGTGGTGCACATGGGTAATCACAGCACTCTGGGAGGCTGAGGCAGGAGGATTGCAAGTAGTACCCCAGCCTGTGCAACTGAACAACTGAGAGAGACCTGTCTCAAAATTTTAAGAAAGGGCTGGAGCAACTCAGTTGAAAGGTCCTAGTTTCAATCCCAATACCAAATAAATCAATAAATCAGGAAAAGTCATTTAGTAATCAGCCTTTTTGGCTTATCTTGTAAGCCAGGGGCTCTGGGCATGCTGGGTCCAACCAAGACCACCTGGGAAGGAGAGGGGTTCCCCGATTCACCCCAGGCTGCCCCACCTGCTTGCCCGCTTCTATAGGGTCCCTGCCAAGCCCTGGGGGGAGATTTCAAGCTTGTTTTTAACCCAATAGTTTTCAACAAGTCATAACAAAGTCCTTGGAACAGAATCTTAAACTTCAGCCCAATATAAAGTAGGCTAAAGCAGAGCAGTCTTAGCTGAATGGGGCCAGGGCCAGAGTTCCCCACTTTGGTCACCTCAGCAGGGGTTTCTGAGGCCTCGGAGCACAGATTCAAAGTCACTGATGAGTAGACCAGCGTGGTAGCTATAAGTCCTGAAGCTCCAGGACTTGGGAGGGAGGCTGAGGCAGGACTGCTTGAGCCCAGTTCAAGACCAGCCTGGGCAAGTCATACCCCATCGCAAAGGAAAAAAAGAACATCATTCATGTAGAAAGCCGAAACCCAGCAGTCAGTTGTGTCGCCACCAGGGCACACTCTCTGAAGACTGGGAGCTCACTACCTGCCTTTATATGATTCCTCTCCTCCTCTTTGGAAACAGAGACTCCCAAGTGTCCCTGCTCTTGGGAGGCACAGAAGTGGCACCCCTGCAGCTGTGCTTCCCGGGCTGAGCTGCTCTGTCCCCCAGCCAAAGGCCCCAGGACGCAGCCCCTACCTTCAGCTCATTGAGATATCTCCTGGTGTGCGCCACCAACAGGTCGTCCTCCGAGGCCTCCCGCGCCTCCACCAGCATGCTGTCCGACAGCAGCTTCTCTTCTGTAAGCACAAAGCAGCCTGTTTCCTGCCCGCTGGCCCCGCTGATGCCAGGTCCAGCCCAGCCCCAGCCCCACCTGCAGCTGGAACCTCGGCCTTTGGCAGCTGCTGCCCAGGAGGAGGTGGGCGCTGTGTGTACACAGCAACCCTCATGTTTCCCAAGCCACCGACAGCCACGGGCTGAACGCAGGTGGCACAAGAGTCAATAATTGGGACTCTCGTGCTAAGAAAATCTCTTCTTCGAAATTCTCCCTGCGCCTTCTGATGACACCACAGGAGGCTTTGGAGGGTGCGGCCTCTCAATATCTGCCCGCCCCAGTCATCCAACTTTGATCATCTATGGCTATTGCTCTGACCAGGTCCCAAGGCCTGCAGGCAACACTAAGCAGTCAGGATTGAATTACACCGCTGTTTTCATTGCCTTTATTTCTACCATGACCTTCTATTTATGACAAGTGAAACTGTCTTTTCCCACTTAGATGACATAATGTTTCCTTTTAAATCAAATTTAAGCTTGTTTTTTTTTTTTTTAAATCCCAGAAGCTAAGTCATTAAAAATGTGCAGTTCACAGAGAAACAGGTGGTGTGAGACGACAGCAAGAGACACGCCCCACTATTCCCCAGCCCTGATGGGTACCAGACAAGCCTGGCTCCCATGCAAAAGAAGAAACTGAGGCTGAGAGCAGGGAGTGGTGTAAGGCACTGTGCAAAGCAGCCTGTGATGCTCTGGTATCGAGGCCGAGGTATGGGAGGCTGGAAGTGGGCTGGCCCCGCACTCACAGCCCCAGGGCTACCCACTGTGGTGCCTCGGGGCATTGCTCTATTTCCTGCTTTTCTTTTCTTTGAAAGCTCACTCTGGTCACTACTGCGAGTGGAAAACTGGTGTTCCCTGCCATAAGCAGAAATGACAAACAAATTCAATGGAAACCATTGGTGTTATCAGTCTCCCACCTGATCCCACGTTCTGTAAGACACACGCAGAGCCTGAGGCTGGCTGTGGAGAGGTTAAAGGGAAGATGGGTTTAGGTGTGAAAGATGGGCTAGCTCTCCACGGTGTGATCAGAAGGTGGCGGTGCTTTTAAAATATTCAGTGTTTCCTCCAAAGTTGGGTAATGTTTTCTACTTCTCTCAATTAAAGGGCCCCTGATTTAAGGAACAAGGACATCCACCCGCACAACAGTGACACCTGAACCAGACCCAAGCAGATCCCAGGTTACAATGACGTGCTCCCCAGAGCATCACTGAGGATTAAGCCATGGATGGGGTACCAGGAGCTGCAGTGTGGCTTTGGGCAAGTTTCCAAATTGTCTGGGCCCCAAACTCTCCACAGTTATAATCAACAGGGTTGCACCACAAGTTCCTTACTGTCTGGACACTCTGCCCAGGCACGGGCTCCCCCTGGACTGGGCCTCTGGGGGTGGAGTTGGGACTTCTGCCCATAGTGACAGAGCCTGACTAGTGACAGGCAGGGTCGCCCCACGCCGAGGGATCTACGTTGGGAAGATCCTTGGACAGACAGCTGGCGCGGAAGGCAGTCTGCGGTAGCCTGAAGGCTGCGGTAGGAGGATCTGCAGCTGACGCTGGGGATGCCGAGGAGGGACTGGCGTGCTGCGGGAAGCAGGGGAGGGGCCTTCCTACCTTTTAGGAAACTGATCACCTTGCCCCATTTGCCAGCGTCGAAGGGGTGCAGCTTCTCCAGGCCCATGAAGGTGATATTGTAGCGCGGCGAGTACACGATGGGCCAGCGCGTTTCTGGCACATGCTGGTACAGCTGGGTGGCGTGTGGCCTTCGGGATGCATGGGAACAGGGGCACGGATGGGGGCGGCCTCCGGAGAGAAAGCTGCCTCCCCTCCACGGACCCGGGCCGCCCACTCCCTCTGCCTCAGAAATGGGTCATGAACAGCAACAAGAATCAAAACAGCTCCTCGCTGGGCCCTGGCGGGTTCCCCTGCACCCAGCTCCGGCCCGGCTCACTCTGGACGCCCTGGAAAGCGGGCGCCGCCGTGGCACCCCTGTGACACCGGGCACCAGGTGTGCCCAAGGTCACACTCCAGGTGCGCCTGGCGACAAGGCCCCAGCAGCACACCTCTGCACGACCACGACAGCAGCGGCGGCGCGGCGCCAGGCCTCGGCTCCCCAACGGTGAAACGTGGGGGCGTCAGCGCGGTGGCTGCGTCTGGGGCAGGGAGGCGTCAGAGCCGCGAGGGTCGCCAGCGCCCACCAGATCCGCGCCGGCCCTGCATCCGGCCGGGCGGCCCTCGCCCACCTCCCCCGGCCACCTCCGGAACCCGCACCCCGCGGGAACCCCAGGGACCCCGGGATCAGCGCCCCTGCCCCCACCCCGTCGCACTCACATCCCGGGAACTGGCCCTCCCTGCGCTGGCGGCCGCTCCGCGACCGAGCGGGGCGGGGCTTGGGCCGGGCGGGCCCTCCCCGGACACGCCCCCGCCTGGGCCGCCTCCGCTGGGGGCGGAGCTCCGGCAGACGGCGCAGGCCCCCTTTCCCGCGCCTGCGCCTGCGTCACAAAGGGACGGAATCCCGCGCCTACCTCGCCCGCTGAAAGAAGGCGCGGCCCAGGACGTCCATCAAGCTCAAAGTCCCGCCCACCGCAGACAATATCCAGTGGAATCTCACCGTGCTCGGAAAGCCACGCCCCTTCGAAGGGAGAGCCGCGGGGATTTCACCAAGGCGCGTCGTATAGGGGAGGAACGTGCGACGTTGCCCCACCCCGGGGGCGTGGCCGCTCTATGCCCCGCCCTATACTCGCAGGTTGTTCCGGCGCGCCTCCAAACTGGGTAGAGACTGGGAGAAACTGTGAGTGAGCAACGCCCGGTTTTTCTGCGGGGTGCGGGGGCAGACTCGCTGTATGACCTTTGGCAAGTGAATGCACTTTCTTAGTTTTTGGGTCAATCATTAAAACGTGGGGGTTGCTCCGGTCTTGCTGTCTCTGACAAAGTGAGTCGTGACGCCGCTAGTCCTGGGGGGTTTACATGCGCCGTCCTGGGTTCAGCGCCCCCGCCTGTCCCATCCTCTGCAGCTCTGCTGTGAGACATGCACGCGCGCCCCCCACATCATCCGGGTTCTCCGAGCCTCGGTTTCCTCATCTGTAGAACAGGCCTGCTGACCCAGTCTTCAGGTACACTGGGGTACCTGCACACCCCCTCCCCAGTCTTCCCCATGACGCCCAGGACCTCTGGGGTGTCTGCGGGGTTGTCACCTCGGAGGAGGCCTCAACAATAGCGACCAGAGGACACAGACAATGGGGCTCTGTCTACCCAGCTGTCCCTGCCACCCGATCAGAAGCAGCTGACCAGAGGGCAGCCAGGGACAGAGCTACTGGGATCCTGGGTGACAGGGCGGGGCCTCGAGGATAAGAAAGGACTGGTGTCTGAAGAGTGTCTGCCGAGTGCAATGCATCTTGAGTCTCATCATAACCCTACAGGGGTGCCAACATCACCCCACTTTTATCATGAGCACCAGGCGTGTGTTCAACCCAGACTGGGCTACCTGCCAGGGACCTTGGGCAAACTGCTTCTGCTCTCTGATCCTTCCAGTTCTTTCTTTCTTCTGTTACTTTGTTTGTTTTGAGGCTGTGTCTCTTGCTACATAGTTCAGGCTGGACTTAAACTCACTGCATAGCCCAGACTGGATCCAAATTCTCATCAATCCTCCTGCCTCAGCCTCCCAGATGCTGGGATTATAGGCGCCCCTGGTTGGTCCTTCCATTTGTGCATCTGAAAATGAAGTGATGACTATTCACTTAGGCAGGAAATAATAACATTAGTTATTACTGAGACAGTGCCTGTCATGTGCTGGGCTCTGTTCTAAAAGCATTAGATTCATTGAGTTCTTAAAACAATACTAGGGAGCAAACTATGGTCATCCTTATCTTACAGAAGAAGGCACAAAAGGATGAGTAACTTACCTCAAGGTCAGAGATGTGGACAGAGTGAACGATAGCCACAGAAGGAAAAATTAATATTTAATAACAACACAAGAGGAAGAGAGTACACTCAGAGTCCGGTATTCGTGTGATCGAATGAGCACAGACTTGGCCTCAGCAAACTTGCTCAAGGGTTGGGGAGCAGCAAGGGTGAGCGTCAGTTGGGACAACAATGCGGGTCTGGGGCTGGCTGGACCGGGAGTGAGGCCAAAGACAGGATCGGACGGGGTGTTTTAAGTTCTGTCTTGCTGGCTAAATGGAGAGGTGGTCTGGGAGCCAGAAGGGTTTGGGGGCACCTTCACACCGCCACGCCGGCCTGGACCCGCTGCCAGCACTCTGGAATGTTTGAGCGGGAAGCTCATGACTTCAGCCACCGCCTTTGGGGCCTTCTGTGACGGCATTCTGGCACATCTGTGAGCCCACCGTTTAGTGGGCACAAGCGTGAGACCCTGTCTCGAAACTGAAAAGAGCTCAGCGCTTTCTAGGTTCAAACTCCAGAACTGTGTCTCATGTGCTCCTAAGCAGGGATTTTAAAAGGTGACCGATTACAAGCTGTCTTGCTGTTAGGAGGCCCTGGTCAGAAGAGGCGGGGCCCTGGGGGCCTGGGCTGGAAGGGTTTCCCTCCCTCTCTCCACTTTCTCTGCTTCCCTGCCCCTGCCTTGAGCAGCTCTCCTGGGCCAGGCCCTTGCACCACGCCTTCCTGACTGAGTCAGGCAACTATGGACTAAAAGTGTAAGCCCCAGAGAGCCTCTCCTCCTTTAAACTGTGGGTGTTTCATGCTGTCTGAGTGACAAGAAAGTGACTAAGAAAGGAAGAAAGTCCAAATATAACACTTCTTCTGGAAGGCGTACAATATTAATTACAGAATGCATAACAATATATGAATAACAATGGGCACAGATCCAATATTTGCTAAAGACTTTGTCTGTGGCACTACTAGGGGCCTGGTGGGCGGAAATGAGGTCATGGGGGTGTGGCCTTGAAAGGGAGTACAGAATCCCTGCCTCCGTCTTTACTTTCTGGTCATGAACTGAGCAATGAAGGCCGAAAACGAACTGCAAGTCAAAATAAACCTTTTCTTTTTATAAACTGATGATCTCAGGTATTTGTTATAGTAATGGAGAGCTGACTAATACATAGGTGAGTTGTTCTACAAGGTGAGAAGTAAGCAAAGAATAGCTCTAGAGCTTCCTCCAGCCCTCTCTGAACCTGCCTCCTGTTCTCAGTTCTACCTGCAAAAAGGTCTTGTGGTCTGGGAGCACTCATGGTCACCATGGTAACCCATCACCATGGAAACTTGATGCTTGGTCCTGGCCTTGTCTGCTTACCATGGGTACCCCAAGCCAAGGAGCTGGTCCATGGCGGTGACTGGGTGATGGCCTCAGGGACCAGAAATCACTGCATCTGTGAGAGCACTTGAGCAGAACTTGTAGAAGTCCCAGCCTCAGCCAGACAGTCCTGCAAGGCCTCCCAAGGGTAACATCATCCCTCCCTGCTGGGCTCCTGGCAACAAGTAGTTGCTGTGCCTCTGAGGCTGGCCCCTGGGGATTCCCTGGCCAAGGGACCTCATCAGCCACAGCACTGCTAGCTACAACCACAGGCCCAGGCTGTCCTTAGCAGCACAGATTAGGGGAGACGTGCTCCCTACCATGAGGTGCCCACACGGTGCCACACCAAGCATCATGCAGACGCCCACACCACAGAATGTCACAAGCTGCCAGAGCGTGTGCACAAGCCCCGGTCCCAGCACTGACTGCCGCTGCCCAGCTTCCAGCCTCTGTTTCTCTGACTGTCCCCAAATGTAAATGGGATGCCCCAAATCCTACACATTATCGTAGCTATGCTCCTTCCCTAGAGGAAGATGGAAAGAAAGAAGGAAGGGAGGGAGGGAGGAGGGAGGGGGAGACAAGGCAAGTGGGGAGACAGCAAGGCACAGTAGAGGCGTGGATCTAAGTTCGCATTCACCACGGGCAGCTTCAGGTTCCAAGGGTCTGACATGTAGTGAAGGAGGGGGAAGGGATTGAAAAACTCCATATTAAAATATGAATGCAGCTGGGCGTGGTACTATTTATAATCCCAGCACTTGGGCAGCTGAGGCAGGATGATTACGGTGAGTACAAGGCCAGTCTGGACTACATAGTGAGACCCTGTCTCAAAACACTAATAAAAAAAGAAAGGAAGAGAAAGAATGTAGAGGGCTGGTGCTGTAGCACAGCGGCAAAACACGTGTTTAGCACCCACAAGGTCACGGGTTCGGTCCCCAGCACCAATAAATAAATAAATAATGGAGAGCTTGGAAGGGTCCCGGGCAAGTGAGGAGCTCTGGTGTCTGTCACAGGCACAAAACCCCAAAATACAAGCCCACAGACACACACGGAAGCACAGACTCAGTCTCCCCGGATACACACCTCGCACACCCGCAGGCGCCTTCACGCTGCAGCCCCTCCCCCCACCCATCTGGACAAAGGCCGGAACTACAAAAGGCAGCTCAGTCCCTCAGTCCCTCAGAGCCAGTGACTGTGCTCTGTGCTGCTCGGGTCTCCTGAGAAGGGGTAACTGCGGCCTGGGCAGGCAGGTCGTGGGCGCTCGCTCAGGTCCCCCAGGAACTGCAGCTCAGGCGCGCAGAGAACTGAGACACGGGTTCTTCCAGGATACGTGAGACTTTAAAAGGTTTTCTTTTTTTGATACAGAAAAATGTAAAGAATACGAAAATGGCTTGCGATGCCACCACACAGATGATCCCAGTGGCATTTTTAAAATAAACTTAATGAATGCATATGCTGAGAAAATGCAAATGCTTCCAAAGATTATAAAATGAAAACTACAACCTTCTTTCCTACTGCAGTTGCTCTCCCTGGAGATCATTGCTCTGAGTTTTCTTCCTGAATACGCTGGTATAAGTGCATTTTTTACCTATAAAAAGGGAATCAGAGCTGGGTATACCAGTGCACACCTGTAATCCCCACACTGGGAGGCTGATGCAGGAGAATTACAAGTTCCAGCCCAGCCCTAGAGTGTTGGCCAGCCTGTATGAGACCCTGGGGCAGGGGAGAGGTGAGGAAGAATGAATGAGAGAATGAGTATCATTGTACCAGACTATGTTTTCATCTACAACACATCCTTAGCTAGGTGTGATGGCGCACACCTATAATCCCAGCACTCGGGAGGCTGAGGCAGGAGGACTACTATGAGTTCAAGACCAGCCTGGTCTACATACTGAGTTCAAGACCAGTCTGGACTATATAATGAGACCCTATCTCAAAAACCAACCAACCAGTCAACCAACCAACTAAACAAACAAAAAACAAAATACATCTTTGCAGGTCTTTCAGCATCATCACAGCCTAATCTACCTCCTTTTCAGTGGTTGTTCTTTATTCCATCATGTGATTGTGTCCTCTATTTCTGATGTCTTTGTTCTTACCACGCCCTGGCATAGCCTTGATATTGCTGGAAACACTGCGAGCATGTCCTTAGGGTGGGCTAGAAGTGCCCATTCTGGTTGAGATGGCCAAAGCACCCTTGTGAAAGACGATGCATTTATGCTTTTATCAACACATATGAGAAGCTTAGTCTCTCTGAGCTTTTATTTATACATCTTGCTGATCTGGAAGGCAAAAATTTATACCTCAGTATTTTTTCAATATCAAGAATATGCAATACACACATTCCCTTTATATCCAGGAATCCCATGGGTACCAAATTTCACAGATGCCCAAGTCCCTGCATATACCAGCACTCCAGTGTGTGTGTGTGTGTGTGTGTGTGTGTGTGTGTGTGTGTGTGTGTGTGTGTGTATTTGTCTGTCTGTGTGGTATTAGCAGTTGAACCCAGAGCCTTTTCACCAAGCTTCATCCTCAGCCATTTTTTA